AACATTTTCATCTGTGCTTTCTGTGTACTTAAACTTATGAGGGTGGTATGTCTTCACACAAGGGACATTTTGTATATACATTGTAGCTTTCAACTCTGCTGTCTTTGAAGCGATGGGCAGATAGGCACTCAATGCACAAGTATTTCCTTCCCATCAAAAATTCCATATAAACACCACAAAATTTACCTCTCCTAGTCTCCTTAAAAAGTGCTAAAAACTGTACAAGTAACATTTTTAAATGTTTTAAAATGAAATAAAAAAATTTTTTTTCAAATAAACATTCACATACAATCATGTTTTAAAGCTTCAAAAATACAAAAAAGCACATGTGCAGAATTTGAATATACACGCACGGTTTTCTTACAGAAATAAAATAAAAGCAAGCAGCTATCTGAGATGAAATATTACCTAAATAATTTATCAAGGCACACAGTTCAAAATACAATATGTACAAAAACAATTCACAAGAACTCTTCTGCTTAACAGTTTTTCCCCAAGATTTACAGTTCACATATTTCATTAAGAAACTAAGCATGCATTTTCCAAAGTCTTCTCTAAGGCGGAAGTATGATATCATGATAAAATACATGTACATTTGAAAATAATATCAATGCCCCTGACATATTTCTTTGGGCCACGTTTTGGTGGCAACGTTTTAGCAGTTTTAAGTCTGCAGATTGCAAAATTTTTCGAAATGTAGAATGCCTGATTTTTGACTTAAAAAGACCTCATGAATGTTTACACACCTTGATGAAGAAATGTATGAAATTTGGCGAATTTTAAGGAAATAATTTTTACAATGTATTGCTGTCCAGATGCAAAATATCACATTCGTCTTTCTTTTGCTGGGGTTAATTTCCAGTTTGGCGTCTGCTGGGCTCATAGTGCAAGCTTTCCTAATGATTCTGTGAGATCCTCTGTGCCACCAGCATTCTGAACAAATTGGAAGGAACAAAAATCAAGGAAAAAAGTTGGTTTTGCAAGAATTTATGCAAGTTTTTTTTCAATGTCTCAAAGAGGACCTCACAGATTGCTCAACCCAAGCCATGCCAAATCCAGTGTGATTCCAAGCGACATTTGCTTATCCTTGAGAGTTTGGGGCTTTTGGGTAGTTTTTAAAGATAATCTAACTTATTATTTCTTTGGAGCAGTTATTTCTATGCTTATACCTTAGAGTGAGGAACTGTATCCAACCCTCTTGTTTCTTTCGCTTGAAAACATTTCTCATTCCTTCAAAATCTGCCACCATGCACAAACCAAGTGACATCATTTCTGTCCTAAAATTTTCAAAAAGGTAGCAAGTCCCATGCCATGCCATGGAGATGGATTTCCCTTTTGATTCCCCACCCATCCTCTGCACAATTCCCAATACCTAATATAACTAGAGAGGTATTGAAGGATGAGAGTACAAGCAATTTTGATTCCAGCAACTACCAGCCTACCATTTACTTTCACAAGCTAATTCTTTTATTTCAGAAAAAATTAATGACTCACCACATTTTCCTTGTCATCTGTGCTGGTCTCCTCTTTTCGTGGTGAGATGACAGCCTTCACCCCTTTGACCTGTAGCTCTGGGTCGGTGCTCACCTCGCCTTCCTCCTCCTCCTCACCTTCCTCTGCCTCCTCAGTGTCTTCATCTTCATCCACATCTTCATAATCACTGTCATCGCCTTCATCATCACTATGGAATTCATACAAAATGTGTCTTGTGATGCCATCTATCCTTAATTTAAAACGATCCTTTATTATGTGGTCACAGGGCCAAGATTTCCTCATTTGTTATCTTCACAGTATATAGTTGCTTCAAAGTTTTTGATTGTTACTAGAATTTGAGAAAATAAGAACAGCGCTCCATAAAAGATGAACAGCAAATGCAGTTTCAATAAAGAAAAGTTGAACACTCATCCATTTCATGCTGACATAAGCATATAATTATGCTGTGGTCATGTAGATTGAGAACGATTATGGAGCTCACACAACACGCTCGTGGCTAACGTTTGCAGCACTGTTGCATGCTTTTTTCTCAAAGCTGTTTTTCTCCTAAAGTAGTTTTGACCACAGCGATGTTTCCCATCGTCTTTTTTGCATCGTATTTTGGAGCAGAGTTGCCTACGAGTACAAATGTGGTATCACTGGAAAGCCCATTCATTTCTCTTTATTCTCATATGTATATCTCAAAAAGTCATAAATGGGGATCTTTCCTCATTATGCCATGGCAGGTCACATATGTGTGACAACTCACTCAGGGCCCTTTTCCAAATTCTTCTTCTGAAACCGGCACTGATGGCCACAGCAATATGCAGCGTAATTAATTAAAAATGTGATTTGAGTTTTAAATTAACACGCATACAATGTACACACTGCTGCTGAATTACCTTAAGGAGCCGAGGGCATCCAACTGACCCCTTGCTTCCAGAACACCGCGAATCAACTCCACACCCTCCTCGCCAAAAATGTTTCCTATCAACAAAACAACACAATAAATCCCTTGAATGGTGGCAGTAGGTCTAACACACAACAACACTGCAATGTGCTTATGACATTCCGAAAAGCAGGTGGAGGGTGGTTCAGAAGTACTATTCCAAAACACTGTCAAGTTTGTAATATTCAAAGGTTACAATGCTTACATGGGACTCTGTATTGAGGTCAGTAGATTTTATATTTATGCTGAAAGCTGTTCTGGACCCTAGGGTGTAAAAAACTCTAATTGTGCTTGTTCAAGTGGAAAAAAAAGAGTGACGCTATAAAACCAAGGAACAAGACAATAAGATTGGAAATGAATGTCAGTACACAGTTTTCAATTATGATCCAACCACAGAAAATGATTGGGAAGCTGCCAGAGGCTATGAAAAGAATTTGGCGCAGTGGGAATCAGTAGAAACTCTCCATCTTTTATTCCAACAAAGCGTTCATTTTCATCAGATTGAAAGTTGACCGGAGTTCACTTTTTCCGATACACTACAACAAAAATTACTGAAAAAAAAAACCTTCAAAGCTCGTTTTATGAGACCTGTTACATTTTCAGCCACATGGATGCTACAGCTATGACGCTATACAACAAGTTATTCCCGCTGGCCAAGAGCCCGCCACACAAAGTTGCTTGACCTTAACATTATGCAACAGTGGGGTCAAACTGTCCACTCCATTTATACTCTTCTCAAGGCAATAGTCACGGCTCAACAGACATCAAGCAAATCCACCATTTTCTCAATTACTGAAGCAATTGCCATCTCACCATTCAGTTCCAATACTGTGAGTGCCTCTTTGCGCTCCATACTCTCAGCAAGCTTTATGCCGGCTTCCCTGTCTATCTCCCCATAGCTCAGGTTCAGCTCCTGTACAAGGGAAGGGAAGCGTAAGTCATGTGCTTTGTGCGCAAACTGATGAGGGCGCTCTTTCACCTGAGAAGGAACTAGTACTCTCTTAAGAGCATCGATACTGTCTATTTAACATTCCCATAAAAATGTTTTTGGTTTCTATGTTGTTTGACTGGGACAACTTAACACACACAGATACGGTTCTTAGATTTTCCAGTTGTCAAAATCAACATTTTTGTTATGCAGTGTCATAACATGAGCATCTTTTACAGCAGAAATCTGACTTTAAATTTAATCATAATCCTTTGATCTGCATGTTGCAGGGGGGGACAGCTCACCTTCAAGTTAGGCAGACTGTGATGGAAGGTTTCTGCAAGGGCAATGGCACCGTCCGACCTCACCAGGCAGTCCCCGAAGTTAATGGACTCCAATTTCTCCAGTTTCTTGAGGGCCTGCTCAAAATACAGAGATTACACCATTGTGGGGATCTGTGGGGTCAAGTAGCCGTAAACACCTTACAGGAACCTTGTCCTGACAGGAGCAGTTGATATGAGACCACTGTTGCTCAAAACAATCCCCAATGCCCAGGGAGGCACTGTTTCAAAGCTGATATTGCCAACCATGAGCTATTCTATGTGCCAACTGAGGACACAATGGTGGCCAAACATGTCCATTACTCTCAATACCGTGTCACCGTTTTATCAGCTCAGAGACGCTTAGCAATAAATAATTTGAACGTACGATACAACATGGGCCACATCCGGTAATATACCTCTGTACTAAAGACACCACACTTTGTTTACATGTGTGCTTGCCCTTGATGCTTAGTAGACCATAGGCCCCTCATAGGGAAAAATGGACATTTAAACAGAGTTTGACATCATCAGCATGTAAGCCTATAGGCCATGTAGTTGAAGGACTTTCACAGAATGTGGATGGCTACACTAACTCAAATTTCACAGTCCAAATTTACCTCAGCCATTGAAGATGCACCTTTCTCTGTGAACGTGTTGTCTTGAAGATTGATACTCTGTGAAAAGATGAAATAATTCGTTGGGTGAAATATGCGTGACAGGTAAGTCTGTGAGACAGATCCATTGATGCAGTGTCTTCACTACATTCTGATAATCACATGTTCAAAAACCTGCATCATTTATTCCATTGCAAAATCGAATGAAAAAAATAAATGAATCCACTTAGTTCCCCCTTGAATATATAAGACAGCATCAACTGAACAAAGCTGGCAATAAAGTGCCTACCCTGAGGTTCTTATTGTGTGTGAAGGAGTCTGCCAGAGCTGTTATTCCTTCGTGGTTGATACCATTCTGAGGCACTGCTACCTCTTCCAAAGTCCCTATGGTCTAAAAATAAAGACACAGCATTAATTAGTTACAAATTTAGAAGCAAAGAAAACCGGATTCAAAATTTCAATTTTCAATGTACCCAGTACAAACAATCCACATCCATCTAGCTCCTTCAAATCTACCAGAGTGTTTAGTGCATTATGGGGGACTGCAGGGAGTGGAGTACAGGCAGTATGACCAATGCACAGGACTTCATGCCCTTTTAGACCTCAGCGAAAAACAAGACAGGACAGCTCCTGGCAAAAAAGCCTTGGAGATACTGGGTCAAAATAAACATCTTTGTGAGTGCAGAAATGTATTAGATGCTACTAGCTCAAACAGGAAAAGTGAGTAGGCTGGCTTCAGAACTCCATCAATGTTGAACTGAGTTTTAAACTGTGAACAATCATCCCACCTTGAAGGCTTGGCCTAGGGCAATGGCCCCAGGATTCTCCAGTCTGTTCCGTCCAGCGACAAACACTGAGAGAGCCAGGGGTTTGCCTGCAGCCGAGCTGCTCTTGTGACAGCTGATCAGGGCTTCTGCTAAGAGCTGCAAGAAATGCAATGAAAGTCTGCATGCAATCACGTAAGTCTTGGAATCTTTATACATAAAAACCACAAACATTACTAACATTTAATTCTTGAGAAATTTGCAAAGCTATCTAAAAACCTGGTTAAAATCTTCTGAAATCTGACATCTATTGGTTTCCTAGAAAGAAATTTTCACTGTCAAGTCTTTTTCACCTGACAGCAAGGGAAATAATCTTTGTGCCATACTAAAAGCGGCTCTACTGGACTCAAATTAGGAATTCTAAGCAAATCTGAACCTTTGTTGGCAGAATGTACCGCCGCCAACATCAACAGGGTAAAGAAGTTGTTAAGGCTCTTTCATCCCTGAAATACATGCCTGCTTTTGCTTTTCTTTTGACACCTAAAGAAAAGGAACTGCTGGTTTGATCAAAATTCAACTTTAAAATCCTGAACAAAAAATTCTTGACAACTACATGTACTTCAACCAAGACATTCAATTCTGCATTGATGTATCTATCAAGAGCATATGTACATGTCTCCTGATGCTTAGGCAGAAGACACTGCCACTGAGATTGACATTGAACTCTGAAACCCAGTGACAGCTTTCAATGGTGACTTTGAAGATTTAACCAAGACGTCCCATACCTTCCCTCCTATTCCCAGCCCGTTGTTGTTAAATCTCATCTCCTTCAGGGTGTAGCAGGCCTGGCTCTCAATGAGATCCTTGACAGCCTTGACGCCGTCTGGACCGAAGGCATTGTCGCTGAGGTCAAGCTCTACCAGATGGGCACCTGCTGTCATGATGGCAGCTCCTAGACTTCTCTGCAAAATTAGATGTACAGTGCACCTATTCGTAAACCTGGGAGCTTATTCACCTGAAACCTACAGAGGTGGGTATAAGTACGCAGCAGCACAAACTTGTTGCATCTTGTATTCATGAACAAGGACTGCCAGTAAGTCTTTTTAAAAAATAAATTTCTTGCGGGTTTATCTAGTATATTTCCAAACTTACCTACTCTAAATTGCAACAACCTGTCTTTGCAATCTACTTATATCATGACTCTGGGCATGATAATCGGCACAGCTCTGTGACACTAATCTGAAAGTCATACATATAGGTTAAATCACTGCTCTCTCTTCTTGCTAATTTTCTTTATTCAACTCGCAAGTTCATTCCCAAAATAGTCACATACAGTCACAATATTAAAAGCAAGGTTCCATGCCCAATGAGAAATCAGTTTCACTGACCAACAGATGTAAATGCAGAATTCGAGAAATAAACTAAAACCTGTCGCTGTGTAGAAGTAGTATTGGTGGACTATGCAATACACTTACTAGAGCAGGGGGGATTTCAGAGCGAAGTCTGCCTGTGAACATATCGGCCCATTTGGCTCGCTAAAAAAAAAGAACCAGAAGCAAAGAAAGTTCAGATCTGCACAATTAGAGTGATGGAACAATAGAGTGGTCTTCTCCTTTCTGAGTTTATAAGCAAAAGTAATGTTGTTGAAGTCAGGTCAAGGGTATGCTACTATATTAAGTAACATTTCACGTGTTGAAACTTTGAACTGAGACTTTGAAATGTTTGACTGAAAACATACTTATTAATGTTATCAAAACCTTTGGAAGATTCAGAGTTTTAGGCTGAAGAGGTAAGTAAATTTTGCCTGATTTTTGTCTGGGGGGTGCTTCAGAACATACAGTAGTCTCTTGGCCTGATGTTCAGGGTATCTCTAATATAAATGACAATTAACAGAATAGAAAATTGTGTGCGACTGTATAATTTAGTATCAAGAGATAGGGTACATTTCACATGGTTGGAAAATAATGGAACATACCTCAAATTCGGGTCTTTTCTCCAGTGCCTTGGCTATGGCTTCAGCTGCCTGGTTTCCTACAGTGTTTCCTTCTAGTCTCAAGGACTGAATGTCCTTACACTCTTCAATAGCTTTCACTATGACTTTGGCTGAGTGAAAAGTGGAAGTAAAATGAAGCATGATTTTTGAATAAAATCATGAAAGTGGTGGCATGACACCAGTAAAAAAAGATACCCAGATTTTGATGAGGTAGGATAATTTATGTTGGTAATCCTCAAATGCCAGAGCCACAACTCATATTTGATTCACAAAAGGATGAAATATCCTAAAATTATACAGTAGGATTTGTTTGAAAGTAACAGAAGGATAATAAAGCAACAAAATGGCAATATTAATAGGCCTATTTAGACTTTGGCCTCACTAATATGGTAGGAAAAAGGTGATTACAGACCAGATTAAAATTTGCATTACTGGAACAGAGAGATTCATAACACTGGCAGTGAATGACTGGGCTACATTGTACATGTTCAATCATCCAGCGAGGGGAATGAGATGGCATTTGGTCCGATGTCGTACATAAAAAAAACAGCGTGATCATACAATGGACGAATGAAAAATGTGAAATTCCCTGATGTAATCATACCATCATCTGCAGTGTTCAGCTTCAGTCCTTTGTCTGCAAAAGAGACTTCATTAAATTGCTTCACTTTGGTCTTTTCAAGCAGGTCGGCGACCGTACCAACCCCGTCTCCGTCAGCACTAGCCATTTTCCAGCTGCAGACTCGAGCAGACAGTGGCAGTGAGTACTCAGTAGGCTTAGTATAGTAATAATGAATACAGTACCAGTAGTACAGTGTTGGCTTGATGAAGTCGTCACTAAGGCAGGTAGTACCGGACAGACGGACCTGAATCAGTGAATGAATGTTGACTGAGCTGAGCTGACGACGTTACGCATACATATACGCGCACAACGCTGAGAACATTAGGTTCTAACCAAACGTCAAGTGAGAGTAAAGTTTTTAACGACGGTTACCTCTCTCACGATTATCCTTACTTTTTAAAGATAATCATTCTCTCAAACATGCGACAATCTCTGCAACTGGAACTTTGTAAAGTATGTTTACGCAGAGGCCTACATATGAGAAAAAGAGCGTGAATTGTCGCAGTGTGTGTCCGCGATTCAGCTCAGGAAAATTTCACGTGCCATACAATTTTCGAAGGAAAGGATGGTACCCGCTGCATTTAGAGCTCTTTTTTTCGCCCGGCCGGAAGCGGGAACCAGTTAACAAACCGGTGAATGTACCGCCCTCTGTTGACTGCTTCGACACGAAATGATGGGGGCGCAGCAGTCAGGTTCCGATAGCTGTGAGCAAGAGAAGCGCGCATTTAACGCAAGCAAAAATTGCAGTCAAGGATTTAGATTCACACTGAAAGGCGTGATTTACTGATTTTCTATGCCTGCGAAGAAATGGCTGCTCCCGAGCTGCCCACAGAATATGATGAGATTGTGCTCGGAACAGGTGAATGCTTATCAGTTGCGTCGGAAAATCGTTAATGAATATTATCCGCGCACTTTGTGATCATTTCACTTTATAGGAATCCTTTGATCGTGGATTTTTTTGTGAGGAAGAATAGGCCTTCTGCTCCGTGCAAGGGGCCCATGAATTGAATGATGAACGATCAGATGATCATGCAGTGATGCATGTTCACTGAGCATAACGGATGAAAAAGGCACTCAAATTCTCAAAAAATCATGAGACAGTTCGCTTTGATAAAACTCCAAAATGTTCAATTTGTTTAACATAGGCCTATTAGAAAATTACTTGTCTTATCTTTAGTTGTTTCTTTTTTCTCAGTGGTACTAGGCCCTAGTGGCAGTGGTAGGCCTTTGCGTGCTTAGTTTGGAGGGCCGGGGGAGGGGGTCTAGGGTAGGGGCAAAGCACTCATCAGCTAAGAAATGACTAGTGGGGAGGGGGTCAGTGTTGAGATATTTTCAAGCAGATTGGTGATTTTCACCCAATTTAGTCTCTTTGTCATTTCTTTTTGCCATCCCCCCTTTTTTATTATTCACCTTTTCCGGGGGGGAGGGGGGAAGAGACAGGCGCTGTCCATGTCCCCCCTCATGGTGCAAATGTTGTCTCCAGTATCAGCCGATAGACTTTGGATTCAGATGATCTATTGTCCTGTTTGTTGCAGTGAGGATCATTGAACTTGAAGATGATAAAGCTGAACTGTTTTTGGTAATGATGTTCTGGCAGTGTTGGGGAATTTTTCTACTTTTAATAGGCAGTGTCTATTTTTTATTATTTCCTGTGGAATTTGTGTGCAGATATTTTGTGACAATAATACATGTATTTTAATATCAGTTCTCATTGCTGTGATCCAAGCATCCAGATTTTGACAAATCTAACTCCTGAACTCCAGTAGTGTGAGGATTTCATCAATGTGAATTCAGTTTAGTGGTGTTGTCCTTTGGCAGGATTACAAGAGAGCATCTTGGCAGCTGCTCTAGCAAGAATTGGTCACAGGGTTCTTCATCTTGACAGGTACACGTGTAAATCTAGGATAATTTGCCTGAAGAGGAAGTGATGCAATTAAGAATATGACAGTTATGTTGCTACATTCAGCAGCATTTACTCTGAATACAAAAAAAGGTATGAAAAATTAAGGAGCAGCAAATAGAAATCATTTGGGGAGTGTCAAAGGAAAGAAGTATCAAGATTCAAGTCAGCTACCAAAGATTTATTCTTTAACTCTCATTAAATGCTTAAAACAATATACAGTTAAAGAAAAAAATTGAAAGAATTTTATGTGGTGATGTTAAGAACAGCACTTTGACAATTTTGTATTGATACTAATTCAGATTGTGTCTTTTCCTGCACAGGAATGATTACTACAGCGGGGACTGGGCAACATTCCATCTGCGCAGTCTATTGGAGTGGATCGACAAACACAAGGCTCCAGAAGTATGTTTTGCCTGACTTCCCCATCCATTACTTTTTCCACATGTGGGCAGCAAGTCTGCTGCATGTGGAAACCCTGCCCCATATTTGCTGAAAAAAAGCATGCTGTGGTATTGATCGATTCTGGATGATTTGATGCTAAGTTTAATTGCATTTGCTTAAGTATCAACACAAACTGAGTGAAATATGTCAAGCGTATAAACACTTGTAGGGTTCAGCTGATATATGTTGATTTTACTTAGTGGGTATGCCTCAAGGGTTCGAGTTAACATGTTGTGTACTAGTTTTGGGATAGTAAAAATTTGATTTCTAAAGTTTTCTGGATTTTTGTTTGCAATTTAGGAAACTGGAGTATTGCCAGGTGCTTCAGATGATCAAGATGGAGGAGGACCACATGATAACAGTCAGCTGGGGGAGGGAGAAAGCTTTCTGGAACTGCCACAGAATTGTAGAACAGTGACAGGGTTAGAGGCCACATGCTATGTGAGGTGAGAGAGTAGTTCAAAGGTTTAGGAAAAATGGAAATGAAGGGAAGCTGCTCACTCCCTCTGTTCTCCCAAAATCGCTAATTTAATGAGCCTTTCAAATATTGTTTGTGCTGCTTTTTTTCATACTTCAGAGCAGGTGTGGAGTTGCCCAGCCTTGAGAGGGTAATTATACCCCCTCGTTTGTCCACTCCAGAGGAGGAGCCAAATCTACAGGGGGCAGAGGGGCAGGACCCTTCCCAGAATGCACCAGAGGCTTATGCCTCATCTGCAGGTGCACAAACAGGAGCTGACCAATCACACTCGGAGGGTGGGGACGAGGAAGCGGAGGCTCTCCAGAACTCGGCCAATGAGGACCGAGAGTCCTCAAGTTCTGTGTCACCATCAATCTCCATTGACCAACCGGGGACTAATGATGTAGCAGCTACAGAGCCAGTGTCATCTGACCAGGTCGAAGGTCGTAATTCACAAGGTGAAGGTTCAAGTTCGAGTGAAACCCCCTCAGAAGAGCAAGAACCTGAGCCTGCTGGACAACAGGAGCAGGATTCACAAGCACAAGGAGATGAAGGTCAAGGGTCAAGCAGTCAGAGTTCAGCAGATGAAGGACAACGTGCAAGTGCAACTAGAAGTGAGAGACGAGATTGGACATGGGCAGAGATCAGCCAGTTGTGGAGAAAGTTCAACATTGACCTAACACCAAAGGTACACCTGTTGTCTTTACTTCTCTTTATCTAAATGAGGATTCATATATCCCATATTGACTAATCACAGGAGATGCCATACTGCATTAGCACCGTACCCAAAGGCACATTCTTGACCACTTCATGCTGGGTTGAGTTAGCGGCATGCATGACCCACTGCCGGGCGATTTTTCACGATTTTGGGGTTTCAAAATTCTTTAAAAATTCATATCTTCATTTATTGGACGTATACACCCAAATGAATGACTGTCTGGTGGCTACTCTAATCTGACAAGCACCCTCCATTGACACGTGAGTATTGCAGCCACACCTGCCGCCCAGTAAAGAACCCCATCGTGCGTTGTTGCATAATTTCTTCTTTGTTCCGGAAATTGGCCCAGAGTGTTGCTGTCTTGTCTTTACTAATGCGGCCAGATTTCACTAGCGCACAGCGGTATTGTATCGCTCATAGCTGGAGTGCTGGAGCGCATTTGTCCCCGCGGATAATCCACAGGCATTGGCAGTGGCAAAACAATGGTTTTTGTTTCAAAACAATGATGAATTACCCTGGCTATGAATAAAGGCCCAGTTCTCTGGTACTGGGAACCCCGGTGGCAAGTGGTTAAGCTTGACGTGCTTATTGCTTTTGGCAAATCATGACACCCTCTTGATCGAAGAGGCATGTAATGCAGTGGTACCACCTGTCCACGAGCGTCGTGCTACTGCAAAAATGGCTTCTAATTTTTCTCCCCAGATTACTCTAAATCAACAGGTAGTTGTTCTAAAAGACCTGAAACATAATGATGTCACGTTTTGTTTACATGTGCACTTTCCTATGGGGACTACATGGATTGCATCCCACCTCTTTGCCATAGGAAAGCACACGTGAACAAAACGTGGCATCATTATCTTTCTATTCAGTAGGATTTCTTGGTCACTATAACAGAGGGATCCCAATATGACGCTTTTAGCATCGATCTGCGCACTTCCTTGTTTGAAAACGAGGCTGTATGTGTCAGCTTCAATTCTTAATACGATCAGACAATTGAAAGTAAGGAGTCAAGACACAAAATACATAAAGGTATGTTAAATTCAGGCTATTCAGGCTGCACATTTTGTGGAAGACTCTTTCAGGATGACTCGACATGTAAAATCAAAAGAAAAAAATGACGGCAGTGTACCGCGAACTAACGTACCTGCGATAGTCGTGTATCTGCATGTGCAGTGGGCATGGTTTAAACTGAAGTGGTGCCACACTTACAAACTTACTTACAAGTTCAACACAGAGAGCCTCAGTATCGATGCTGATATGCGCAGATGACGCTAATGTGAAATCCCTTTAGGTTAGCCTGTAAAGATAGACGACAGAGTACATCCTTGGGTGAAAGAGATGCATTGTATTTCATGTATATTAATTGCAGCTCATGTTCTGCCGTGGTTCCATGGTCGATTTGCTGGTGTCCTCACGAATCAGCAGATATGCAGAATTCAAAGCAGTCACCAGGATTCTCACAGTCATCAAGGACAAACTAGAACTGGTAAGATAGGCATGAATCCTCGTATGCTCAGTGTAGTTTTATATCAGTCAACCTGACATGGCACTACTGTACACATGGAGAGTATTAAAACAAAAGGTACTAATGGAGTGACTTTGTGTATGTATCCGATGATAGCATATAGACTCAGTTGCTTATCCGAAGATAGCTGTTGTGAATCCAAGTATTTCTAGGAATACGTGACCGATTACCTTATAGTGTGTCAAACAAGGACAAGGAGGACTTGCAAGAAAACGTTGCCTCTTTCCAACCTAGAGGAATACATCTGAGAGATGATCACATACTTTCTGTTAATCTTCACGGACAAACAAGTAGGTGTTTGAATGCAGTTGAGTAGTTCTTGTTAACTCTGCATTTTGGGGCGATGCAGGTTCCCTGTTCCAGATCAGATGTGTTCAGCAGCAAGTACGTGAGTGTGCTGGAGAAACGTATGCTGATGCGTCTGATAGAGTTCTGCCTGAATTACCAGGATAGACTCGAAGACTATGAAGGTAAGGTTACATTTTTCAGGGCTTCTTTTCATATTTATGGAAATATATTACCATTTTTTCTTTTCTAATATGGTGTCTTGCGCTTTGGTTTAACATTATGAGGAATGTGTGCTTAATGTTGAGGGCTTGTAAAGAAAATGTTTGGGGAAATTGATTGGACTTGAATCGGTCAATGTGAGAGATGTATGAACATAAAATTGGCTGTTTGCTCTTGTAAACCAGCGTACAGATTAAAGTTAATCGAGACATAGAATACCATATTTTTCTTCCTGGCTAAAGCTGATTTATTTGTTTGTCTTTCTGAATGTCAGAGTTCCGGGACAGACCCTTTGAGGATTTCCTGAAGTCCAGGAAACTCACACCAACTCTCCAACACTTTGTGATGCACTCCATCGCAATGGTTTCTGCAGACACTCCGACAGAAGAGGTACTCATTGTGGGTGAAATGTAAATGGCATTTTTGAAACACTATGAAATACTTCTTTCTTGCCTTGTTTTCCTTTTATATTTAATTGGATCTTTCAACTTTGGTCCAAATGTACTAACCTACTGTTTGTGAAGCTGTACCTCACATGACATAGATATCTTGTATAGAATTCAAGGCAAATTATGCTAAATGTCAGAGAATTTGTTTTTTAAAGCAGATTTGTTATACACAGAAGGGCTCTAAGGCTGCATTCAAACCTGCTGTCTAGAGCTTGGTCTTTGCTCCATTGGAAATACATGGAGAAGAGCTGACAATAGAAGTAGCCGTAGCTCTTGAAGTCCATTCAGCCTTAAGACTCAGCCTTAGGTTGAACATTTGTTGGGGAAAGTGGCTAGTCATAACCAGTCTCAACAACATTAACGTAACGGTTGATTTTCAGGCTCTCAAATCGATGCAGTTCTTCCTTCGTTCTCTGGGTCGCTATGGCAACACAGCCTTCCTCTGGACTCTCTATGGCAGTGGCGAGCTTCCTCAGTGTTTTTGCAGGTACATTTCCTAAAATGGATTTCATGAAAGTTTCAATTCTCCTTTTTTTGCACTAAATTAGTACTTCTCAAGTTACTAGTTAAAGATACTCTTGTGGAATGTTTGAAACAAAAAAATGACCCATGGTTTTTGCTGTACATGGAACCAATTCTACAAAATGGCTGATTTTGGAATTTTATGGAATCCGAAAAGATTCTGTTTAGTGTTTGAAATTGTAATTATCAATGGTTTCTGCAGAATGTGTGCTGTGTTTGCCGGTATCTACATGTTAAGGACCAACCTGAAGACGCTCATCGTGGATGAAAACAACGTGTAAGTTTCCTGCTGGTTTTTTAAACCCTTTTTCCCCCAAACTTTCTGTGACTGGATTCAGATCCACTGTCTCCAGAATTTGAAGGAACACATTACTCTGGAAAACAGAAATTGTTTTCTCAGATATTAGTTTGCCAGTTGAGGAAATGATCTTTTAATAAATGTGACCTTTGAACTTTCTTCCAGGTGCAAAGGGGCCATTGACTCCGAAGGGAGAAGACTGACATGCAAGTAAGTTTTTGACCGTAACCACTTGCTGCCTGGGGACCTGGCTTTCGGTTCGTTTTCTTTATACCGAATGCCAGCTGCCCGAAGCCAGACAAAAAGAGTTGGGCCTTGTAACAAAAGACTGTACTCGGAACGAAAGACCGATCTGCTGGGAATTTCCAGCATTTTTTCAGTTGTCAATAGCGGAGGAAATCCATCATTTTTTTGAAAGATTATACCACTGTTTGTGGCATTCAGTGCGAGCGAATTACCACTGGGGACAAAAGCGCTCCAGCACTCCAGTGATGAGCGATACAATACCGCTGCACTCTAGTCTGGCCCCTATTGAAAAGACATCAGCGGTGCACTGTGCGGGTTTTGGGAACAAAAGAAAATTACATAACATCACACAATCCGGGCCTTTTTTACAAGGCGGCAGGCCTGTCTGAAATACTCGGGCATCAATAGATGTTGTCTGTCTGATTAGAGTAACCACCAGACAGTCATTTGTTCGGGTGTAAACGTCTAGTAAATGAAATTATGAATTTTTAAAGAACCTTGAAAAAAAAAATCACCAGGCCCAGCAGAATCAACACAGATAAATGGGCCTGGCACGAAGCAGTTAACTTCAAATGTATAAAGCAACATTACCATTTGGTATAATTTATGTATGGTTGATGTTTGGAATGTGATGTGTCACAGGGAGTAGTGGTAATCCCTGAGTTATCCTGCTTTGTGTTTTGGTTTCTTGTTAACAGCAACCTGATCATGGAAAGTAGCTATGCCCCACAGCATGCAACCAACACAACGCTAGGGTAAGCCTTAGACATTGCATATATTATTGCTGTTGTTCCTTCAAGAGAAATACAAACTTCTCCATCTGTAATGTGTTTGACTTCAGAGTAGATTTGATGTACAGATGTTTTTAGCTACGTTTACTATATTTTATCCTTTTTACAACCCCAGGAGTGTTTCTAGAGGTATCCTTTTGACAGACCGGTCCCTCAAACCAACAGACAATGAAGAGGTACGCTTTCCAGTTTGTCAGGAGATTAGCCGTACCTTTATTATAACAGTAACTTGCAGATGAAATCAAGGATTCCTTAAAGAATCTATTCCACTGAAGCACCTGAGATCCAAGAAATGTGAGGGGAGGTGACAACATAAAAATGTTCACTGGGGTGGGGGGAACCCACTGTGCAGTAAACATGCAGGGAAATGCCTCTGGTTAGGATTTGAAACTTCTATTCAGAGGATGTCCAAGGAAAATGAGTCTTCATGATGAAAAGCCTGAGCACCACCGAGGTGTTACCTTTCATGAATTATTTATTGGCCCCAGGACCTGAAAAAAAGCTTTGGTGATGGTCATTGATGTAACCCATGTGCATTGTGCATGTTAATCATCTATTGCTAAAGACCACATACATGTAGTAAGTTCACGATTTTCATTTTGTAGATAACCCTGTTGACTGTTCCGCCCCCTGCTGGTCAGAATAACCCTGTCAGAGTGTTGGAACTTGGAGCAGGGTCATGCGCCTGCCCAAGAGAAATGTGTACGTATTGCTGTCAGTTGCCATCTCTTGATGTATCAGTCTTCAATTCTTGCTTCTGTGTCCAGATTTTGTTGGTGCTTTCAAAATTCCCATATCCCAAGAGACAAAAAATTGATTGTGACATTTTGTACAATCTTTATTTTGCTGTAGTTGTCGTACATCTCACATGTGCCGGGACAGGGCAGGCAAAGGCAGATGTACAAAATGCCCTGGACAGTTTATTTCAGCCACTGAACTCAGGTAAATATAGAATGAGAAAAAAGTCAAGCAAACAGGTTTATTTCAATGCCATTGCATAAAACGTGTCTGGAAAGAAGTCATTCGATGTGTGAGAATTGCAGCCGTTTGCTGTGAACATTGAAATCTTGTTTCTCAAGTTTAAGTGAAGTAAACTAAAATAATAGTGTCAGTGGATTTTGATTGGCACCAGTGACTGAAACTTTGTAATTTAGTAAGAAAAAGTTAGAGGTGTTGATTTGGACTGTTACAAGAAACAGATTTGTAGATTTGTTTGTCTTAGTTCACTTTTTAATTGTCTGTCCTATGTTTGTATTGTAACACTTATGTTTGCAGACTAAATTAAAGCATGAAAGAGACTTGCTAAGCCTCAAACATTGTCCACAATTACTTTGACATCCACAGAGGAAGCTGACCAGTCCAGCACCAAGCCCAAGGTCCTCTGGTCCTTATTCTTCAGCCAGGTGGACGCTTCAGTGTGTGAGGACTCGGCCCTTGCTGTGGGCCTTCCCAGTAACGTGCTCGTGACTGCTGGACCGGGGACCTCAGTAGGATTCGGGCATGCTGTAGCACAGGTGTGTGTTGTAGTGACGGCATGGTGCTTTGCATTTTGCAGTGGGGAAAAGGTTTTGCTTTCCAATGCTGTGTGAATAGGTCAGCTTCGAATACTTGATCTCAAATGAGATGGTTCCAGGTTTGCATCCTAACAAGAGAGATGTCATTTGTAAAGAATAGCTGTTCATGTCTTCCACTTTTCAACTTAAAATGAAAGTAACATAGAAAAAGCAGGACAGGTACAGCAAACAAGTGCATTAGCTTTGTTTGGAAATATCCTTAAACTTGGAAGCTGACCTGACCTCAACTGAAACTAATCGCATGTTAATTACTTCATTCGGCCTGCAATGGTTGAATGCTATTGTTAAGTTTCTTTCATATAAGTCTATTCTGCTAGTAGGGATTTCCAGTTGTAATAACTCTTGCCGTTGCCAAGTCTTGCCTAGGAATAGAGCAACTGACGTGTCTGTAAAGCATGAAACAAATCATATAGCGAAAGCTTATGAATGATTTTGAAAATGAACAAAGAAATGACTGGAGCAGGATTTGAACCTGCAGCCTCTGAAACACCGTACCAGTGCTCTACCAACTGAGTTACCCAGCCTTATGTTGGTGGCTCTTCCCATTTGTCAATATCTCTGTTTGGGGGGCACTAGCCAGAAGCCATTCAACCTGAAACACCATTAGGATGTGTCTGTAAAGCATTAGATAGCTGACTTTCCTTGCTTATCTGCAAAAGTGCCCCCAAAGAAAAAGCCATGGATGTAACTGATATTTCTTTCACGATTTGACTTACATTGAGGAGCTCTAGCACGACATCTGCTGGTAAATCCGGTTTCTTGACCCCTTGATGACTCAGTCTCAGGACTTAAACTGCTCATCATCCCTACAAGCAGAATACCGTTGATGTTTCCATTCAGCATGTCTGCTAGCTGCTTGTATTGTCTCGTGTCTTGTCTTGCTTCATCAGGCTAAGCGGCTGTTTGAGAGACTCTGTCCTGATGAAGACTTTCTTCCAGCAGCACCGGAGCCCGAAGACATCATCTTTGAAGATCAGTCGAAAGACAACCCAGGAGAACACAAAGAGGTACATAAAAAGTAAAAGTCCTCAAAGGGATATATTAAATTTAAAAGTTCTCAAAGAGGTATATAAACTTTAAAAGTTTCACCGAGGTATATTAAAATTAAAAGTCCTCAAAAAACAGTCCAGCTCTCAGTGACTTAATCCATTTCTTGTGTAGTGATTTCCATGATCAACAAGTCTAGTGTCTTTATGTTATGATTTTTACAAGTTTTGTAATACCAGGCAAAAACCAAAGGTTAAATATCCTGGCTGTGAGCAATTTAGAGTAAGTGGTATTAACAAGCCTGGTCCTCGGTTTCACAAATCACATTGCTAAAATCAGGCGAAGATGTTAGTTCTGGTTAACCTTCACAATTGATATAAGGCCCTGTAAACTATGGTATGATTTTATTGTTAAAATTCACGTGTTTGACCTTGGCAAAACATTGTGGCCTTGGATCTTTCCAGAGATTCTATCATTGGTGAAATGGTTTCTTGGTAGGTTGGTTTTGAGGCAAACTCGTCTGCTGGAGAAACAGAGAGACCCAAGGGAGAGGAGACGACTGTCACATCATCTGAGACGCTAGAGCAGACAGACAGAGCAAGCCAGAAGAAGGATGTAACAGAGGCAGAATCAAATCAGGACAAATCTGACGACACCACTACCTCAAGCTAGGAATAAGGTAGTCAAATCACGCACTGGCGCAAAGTCATTTCAAAAACAAAAGAGCCAAACATGGAGGTTTTTTAAAAGAAAAAGATGTGTATGATTTAATTTGATTGCCTGTATCCAGGAGCAAAGTTTGGGATACTTCAGGATTGTAAGGACTTGCTGCTATATGTGAAGTTCAAAGCCCAGAATGCTTTGGTATACTAAGTTTCTGTTACCAAAGATTTAGGTTTTGTTTTAATGAGGGGCAAATTGTCATGGAAAAAAATCTAAGCAATTTTATACCAGCTACTAATTATCAATGCAGTTTTCACAGATAGTACTTGTGGAGTAGTTCTGTTTATTTGATTAAAATTGCTTTGCAAAATTTCAATGTTGTATATGTACAATATTTAGCAGCATATGTAAATTGTGAAATGGCCTTGAAAACTGCAACACTAAAAAGAGGCAGAGAAATGATGAAACGAACGGTTAGATCAGATTTTCTTTATTTTTTCTAAAAGTTGCAACAAATGATGAAAGGTATTTGAAAATGTGCAATACATTATCTGTGTTGGAAGTTACAATAATTATTTCATTTTCACGAACTTGAGGAAAAAATCTGAGGTTTGGTTGGCATTTCTTGAAATTCTTTTTTATATATATACCCATGAATTACTTTAGGTTATTCTACTGAAAGCCTTAGTTATAGTTCAAATTTAGTTGATCCAAATTGTTTCGTTGCTTAATCACAAGCTCTCATTTAGTCTGTCTTGCTTTGTATCAAATTAATCCTGAAGTATCATTATATTCAAAAATGCACCAGCCTTGTTACACAGTTTTTACCAGGAGTGTAGAAACGTTTTGCTGAAGCTCTCTTTTTTTGGCATTTTGAATTCTATGTGCTGCATTGTTTTCCTAACCATTGTTCCCCTTTGATTGAATAATTAACCTGTACAAAAAGGTACTCTAGTTGCTACGTTTTTGTCCCTACTGAGTTTGTCACAGAAGTTGTCCTCTGGGTTCACCCATAAATCATCAAGTCATCAGAAATTATCATTAAATCCACTAATCCTACTGTGCCTTGTTTTAAACATTTGTCAAATATGGCATAAAACCTCTCAATCTTTCGTCCCAGCTTCGAGAAGGCTGGATTGGTGTGCTCCTGCTTTGGCTGTTTAGTGATGTCTTTTGCTGGCTACTTCTGCTCCTTGACGTTGATCTGTCAAACCTGCAACAATCTCACTGTCAACAATGAACATGTACTTCTTGAACAGCGAGTTCATCGTTCTAAGTTGCTAAAAGGGGCCAGCACAGGAACTTCTAAGGCAACCTTCTGTATCAAACAATGATGGTTACCAGTGTTGTTGTTACCAGTGTACTTTTTTCCTGAAGTGATCTGTATTTGGTTTTCAAGAAAGATGCATTTGAGCATTTAAATGTAATTTTCAAAGCAGTTGGTAGCACTTGTGTACATGTATACTTGAAGTAATTACAGTCACTTTATATGACAAAGAAACCCTGATTTGTAAAAATGGAAATTAGAAAAAGAACATATATGTAGAAAGCAGTGTTATTATCCTCAATACCTGGTGGTAGATCAATGCAGTTAAAAGTGTCTTTTTTACAGTGAGAAAGTCTTACCATTGAAACTCTTGTGGAGTATGAATCTGTATGCATGTGATGAAACCATGACAAAGGAGAAGGGAAAAAGGTTGGGAAAAAGGAAGTATCTTTTCTCTCGAAAGTGGAAAAGATGCCCTGTATGAGAAGCCTGGTTCAGATAGTGACTTTAAAAAGTATTTGTGAGCATGATTGATATTGATCAGTTGTCGAGTTAAGACTTTCATGAACAATACCGAATAAGTATGTACATGTACTTGTAAATGTTCGATTTGTATAAGCTGTGAATGTACTTTGTGTTAACTGTCCTGAAATTCAACATGTAAGTGGTGAAATATTTCACAAGTGAAATTTCATTTCTTCAGTCTCTGAAATCCTAAGTTTATTGACCTAAAAATTACACACACAACCCTTGCATTAATATCTGCCAAGTACACTGACAATTTTAAAATCAGCGAATATAATTTCCCCCTTTTTTCTTTCAAATGATTACCATTTAACACAAGAATATTCAGCTTAATCGGCAGGTACAGAAAATGAAAGCAATGGGAATAATAGACCATAGCGTAATGGCGCCATGCTTTGTTTACATGTGCACTTCCCTATGACAGAGAGGTGGGGAGCAATCCAGCTCCAAAGCACACATGTGAACAGAGTGTGATGTCTATCCATTTCGCTGCGGGCGCCTTGATCAAAGGCTACATTTTACTTCTAAACTTTGTTTATCAAACTAGGTTTATTCAACTACGACTAAATTTGAAAATTTATAAGAATGACACTACGTAAATTTACATATCCCCTTTCTTTTTGATTCCTTGTGCTGGGGCACATCTACGAGAAGTCATTCAAATTACGAGTCCAAAAATTACACCACATTTTCGGGTTCTCTTGCTATTAACTTTTGAAACAACACATCCTGACTGGTAATTAATACTCTGGTATGTGAAGCCTTCACAAACGATGAGCCTACAACACGTTACCATGATATATTTCAGTCACTAAATATGAAACATATTGCTACTTAAGTTTGAATACAAACAATTTGACAAGATCTGAATTGGAAGATCTTTGCATTTCCAAATGGAACTTTACACAATTGTTGATGTTAGATAGCTTCTGTGTAGGCCAAGGGTCAATATGAAATGTTACACTGTCAAGGATCAACATTAAGGAGTGCATAAAGGAAAAGTCAAAAGAAGACTGAACCAAATGTATCAAGACTTCTCCTGCAGTACTAGGTCAAGGTCTACCTTTAAGACTGCACTCCCTTCCAAGTGCTAATAAGAACTTGTATTCTTGATGAATTCTGCACAGCTACAAACAGCACCCAAAGGTCCTTACTTGGCTAAAAGCTGTGAATAAATACCTCTCCAGTGCCATCCGGCACTTTACTACTGGACCTTGTACATTTACTGGGACCAAGACCTGAGCCATAGTTAATAAAAAAAATTGGACTCAATGGTGCAAAACATGAACCCAACGAACATTTCAACTTACTACGTGACTGAACCAAACTGAATGTATATTAACTTCAGACCAGCACCACTACAATGAGTTTTTAAAGCTCGTAACACACATGTATATATCCATACCATTACTGAAACCTCATTTCCTTCCAGTGACATCAATCTTAATTAAAAGAATGAACAAAAACTAAATATTGCTCACTGAAAAGTAGCTGTGTCATCACTAAAACTGGAAGAATTGTGCACAAAAAAGGTTTATTAATGGTATTTTTAAAAAGAAAGATAATACAATTTAATTGCAATATTTTTGTGCATTGTACATTTTTGAAAGCCAGAAAATATCAGAAATAAATATTTCCTGGTTAATAATGAATGGATCAGTGGCTCTGACAGGGAAATACAAACAGAGTGTACATTTCTGGGAAACTAGTCAAAATTACAAGCACAAAAGGAACCGTGAAAGAGGCAATCATGCGAAGAAAAGGGAATCATTTTCATGAAAATCTCTAAAGGAGGCATTTTCGGTATAATTTCAAAGTTACATGTGGAGAAGATTCCAACTTTTGTGAATGGTGGCTTTTCTGAATGGGGTGACAATTTGCACGCTCTTTCAGTATGCAGTAATAAACGCAAGTAATTCAGAGATTGCCACAGAGAGGCCAAGTTTGTACTGCATGAGGAGAAAATGGTCCACAATATACAAAAGGTTTCAACTTCCACCCACATTTTACCAATAGTTTTTCTCAGGGGAAACTTTCACAACTGTGACAGTTCTGAAGATACTTCACTAAAACTGCTGGATGTAACTTTGAGATTGCAAACCAAAAGTTGACTGAGACTTTTTAGGAGAGGGTGGCAGTCCCAAAGCAGAGGCTTCAACTTTAAACCAACAACTGCTATAATTGCAACTTGCTCTGTTGTTTTGAGTTGTTCATAAAGAAATTATGCATGCAGTCTGGGGCACAGAATTTCTCTTCAGACATTTTGTTACACCGGCCTACAAATATTTGAGACAATTTCTCACTTTATTATTAAAATGATTGTTACTACAAAAATTATTTTGAAAGATCTGTTTTGTTTAGATACCAAATTATTCTGTTTAGAAAAGATATATTTGTCAAGTTTCCCAAACCCTCTGTTTTATGAATTATTCACAACTGACAAACTTGGCAGAATGAAACCATTACACTGCTCGATTAAACATTTAAATTACATGATTTTTCACAATTCTTAAAATCAGGTTTCACAAACCTCAAAAATGTATGCACCAACACGGAATAACAATTACCACAAATACATTACTTGATCATCTCACGTAAAAAAAAATCTCTCTGACTTTTGGAGGCAGTTATAAATTTACACCAAAGCCTGGATTTCTGTAAATTTATTACTTCATGAAAGAGTGTTTTGGGAAGGCCTTTTAACCACTTTGTGCTGGGGTACCTGGTTTCGGATGCATAGGCTTTATACATGACGCCAGGGAGCCCAAAGCCGGACAAAAGAGCTTGGCCTTGTAACGAAGACTGTACTTGGAACAAAAGACTGAGCTACTGGGCATTGCCAACATTTTTTCAGTTGTCAATAGCGAAGAAATCTGTCATTGTTTGAAAGATTATACCACTGTTTTTGGCATTCAGTGCGAGTGGAATAAAAGTGCCTCCAGTGATGAGCGATACAATACCGCTGCACTCTAGTCTGGCCCCTATTGAAAAGACATCAGCAGCGCACGGTGTCAGTTTTGAAAACAAAAGAAAATTACACAATACCGCACAATCTGGGCTCTTTTTACAAGGCGGCGGGCCTGGCTGAAATACTCGGGCATCAATTGCTGTCGTACGTGAGATTAAAGTATACCACCAGACAGTCATTCGTGTGGGTGTAAACATCCAGTAAATGAAGTTATGACTTTTTAAAGAATTTTGAAAAAGAAAAAATGAAAAGTCACCCAGCCCAGCAGAATCAACATGGATAAATTGGCTCGGCACGAAGTGGTTAAAATTAAAATCTCTTTCAAAAACACGAAGAAATAATCTATTGAACCAAGAACTTTCAAAAATACTGCATAATCATTTCGTATAATATTGCATTTAAACATACCCACCCAGAGTCCTTTTTCATGAACTTCTAGAAATCCAAACCATCTGTTACTAACAAAAAACCCACTTCAGTTGACTGTGCCTCTTCTGAAGTCTAGGAATCGCCCCTCTTAGGTTTCTCTGGTGGTTTTGTGGCCTCCTCATGATCCTTGCTGTGGTAGAAGTACTTTGGAGTGTCCATGTGGTAGTGATGACTGTCTTGGTGCCAATCACCGACGTAGTGCGAACCGAATCTGTGGCGTCACAAACCAAATTAAATTATTTATGTCAAAACTGTTTTTAAGGTTGACGAACAGCTCAGAAATAATGCCATGAAGTTGTACCTAGCTGTACACTTTGGGGGAGTTTATGCTAAACAAAATCCTTAAAAGCAAAATGGAACCCCAAAAAGTGTTCCACAATGCACGGCTTTCACAGTATCAGCATTTAAACAATTTGAACCAATAAGGCAAGGACTTACACTTTTGGCAGCCACTCAGATTCATGCACATCCTCCTTGTTTGTTGTCACTGCATCGTTATCTCTGTAGGTTTTGGTGTCAGGGATTACAAACTTGGCCAACTGCACTTCTGTGTCACTCAGATCACTCTTGGAAATACGTGCATAAGCCTTCCTGTGGACGAACACATGCAGAAGACCCATTGTTGCACATCAGACGAAGATCACTTTTTGATTCAAAGAGTTTTAATAGTTGGCAAGAGTTGGCCTCAGCTTGTAGCTGTTACTAGGTCCATCAAAAGTAGGAAGTTTGAAATTAACTGGGAAGGAATAGTTACTTCAAAATACCTTTGTCAAGGAGGATTTAAATAGCTTGAAACTTGATAATTTTCAAGGACCAACAAAAGATTAAAGGATAATAGCAAGAAATATAAAACACAAAAGATACAGAGACTCATTTTGGCTGAGCTCACCCCAACATTTTTCATTTACCCTTTTCCTTTTTGATCTTGTCCCTCAGCCAAATACTTCCCTGTTGTGCTCAGCCAACAGGTTATCACAGTCTGTGCATCTTACCTGATTAATCCCTTGTAGAATATGTACTCACAAAACCTGTCTTTATCGGTGGGATCTATGTCCTGAAATGGACCGAATAAATGGAAAGACAATAAAACATTTGTAAAAGAGAATAACTTGGAAGCAAATGATTTCAAAAGAGCAATGATGCATGGATTTTGTGTTCCTCAGCAGGATACATTACTAGGACAAGAGAGGCATGGCCTCCATCATAAATTCCCTGTGAAGAGTAATCATCCACTCCCCATGAACATTGCACCACCACTGAAGAGAAAATATGACCCAGGCTTGGGCTTACCAAGAGTTTTCCAAATGTGGTGAACTTTGTGTAGTCTCTGCTGCCAGGTTCTGAGGTGACGTAGCCCATAAAGACAGTAGGGTTTTTGCTGTAAAGTTTGACGTAAGAGGGGGACCTTCAGTAACACAATTTATCATGACCTTATGCGTGCACTTGCATCATTGTTGTAGTTGAGGCCATCACAAGAAGAGACACGAGTAACAGGGTGAACAACGACAAGGGAATGCAGATCATTTGAGTAGCATGTGGCTTGAATTCAGACTTGAGGTCTTGTGTTGGTCTTGTGTGGTCTTGTGCAGGTCTTAAGTGGTCTCCACTACAACCCTGACGTGCACCATTCACTGATATATCATGCTTGTTAAAAGATTAATTAAGATGAAGTGGTGTGGATAATGGTAATGTAACCATTGCTGTACATATGATAATACATGTATGTGACCTCCAAGCCAGATATGGTTCTTAAAAATGGTTGCCATTTATTTCGTTTATAGCTTCTTTCCAATTTCCAATCAATTTTTGGATAATGAACTAAGACCAATCAAGGAAGAAACAAGCAAGTGTAGAAATCCCGTCTTGCAACCTTTATTCCTGCATACATTTTAACACTCTGTATCCCTCCACAAGTCCTAATTTTAGAAAGGGTGATAAGTGAAGCAGTACCTGGTCTGTCAATACGGGCGATTCACAATACATGTAGTGCGCCTCCAAGAGTTTGCAACGCATTGACCAATTACAATGCGCGGAATCTGTTGACCCAATTCATATTTGAAAAGGGTTCACAGATTTCATGCGTTGTGATTGGCCAATGCATTGTAAACTCTTAGAGGTGCACTAGTATGAATCGCCCGTATTGGACGAGGGGATTTATTCACAAATCAAAGAATGTGTCATGAAGGTATGGAGGATTGCAAGGTTCCCATGCAACGAGATCAATAGTGCTGGTGAACCCCAGCATCATGTGACTTCTCTTTCACTTCACAGAGTACATGGTTTTAAAGTCAACTGTTACCTCCTTCTGGTGATATTAGAGAGCACCTCGGCCTGCAGCCTTCGGTCCACATCATCCCTGCGAAAACAACAAGACAAGGATAACATGTGATCTTGAAAAACAAACATGTTTTTGAAAATTCACACAAGCAGGTGCAGCGATGAACCAGCTTGAAAATATTCAGAAGATAACAAGCCAATGAAGTCTTGTTCTTGGAAACATGGAATCAAGTGGAAGTTCCCAACAGCAAATCTGACTCTTGCTTATTAAACCTTACTTTCAGAACCCAGAGCCTCAAATCTTTCTCTGAAATGATCCCAGGTGCAACAACTGTCCCACAAAAGACTGGCAAAAGACAACTCTCATTTTGCCTACAAGTTGTATGGGAGGCTGAAGTTTGCAGAAATATCACTTTTTAGTTTTTCCACAAACCTCCATGCATTTAAACTGGACAATTGTCCCATTGACTTTAAATAGGGTTGTAATTTCATTTAGTATTAAGTAGTATGTGTGTTATTATCTGGTGTTCTGACAGGTGCGTAGGATTTTGAAACACTTTGGTAATTACTCTTTTACTTTTGTACCGACGTTTTAGTAGCCCCTTGGAGAGAAAACATGACTGTGACATCAAAAGAGCAGACCCTATTGTGCCACTCACTCAGTGTTGCCCATGTGAGCGGTGACGAAGTCAACCAGACTGCCAGATATGTTGACCGTCATGTGAAGGCCAGGGGCCAATTCCCCTTTGGGAGAGGGTAGGAGCAGGTGATCTGAGTAGACGATTGGAAACTTGGACAGGAAAAGACTCCTGAATGGTGAGAGAAATAGACATGTGAAAATATCAATTCTATGACCTCGTAACACAGATCAAAGATCAGGTCGTGGTCACAAGTCAAGGAGTTGTCCAAGGTATATTTCACTCTCCAGACATTTTACATGAGTCCACGTTGAGACATGAGTCCAAGTTGAGACATGAATCCTAGTTGGGACATGAGTCTTAAAGATTCAGCACAAATGAATGGCTTATGCAAGGTAAATCCAAGACCCATGAATCACAAGAATCACAAGAATCACAATGACTCAGAAGACAAAGGCCAGGTCGGGGTCTGGGTTGTAAAGGTCAAGCCCAGTTTTGAGTCTCCAGTGTTGCATGAGAGCCAGGAGAAATATTCTTCGAAGAAACTTTACAATCAGTGCATCAAAGACTGAATACAAGTTTTCTTCAAAGAATTTTGAAAGAAAATTATTATCCTACACGGCGTTCTTCACAAATCCCTGGAAGACCAATTTGATTCTTTTTTATAATTCCTCAAACCATCAATAAGCAGGCACACAAAACTGAGTGATGTGCAATACTCACCCCCAAGTGTGGGACTTTGTGGAGGGCCCAAAATCATCGTACATTCCCAGCCTTTCCCCAAACCACATGCTGATGTCATTCAGTCCGAGGTACGGCTTAGAGGCATCTGCTTCAATTAGAGCTATCACGTCAGCACCTAGTGACAAGAAATGGCAAGGAAATGTAGCATTCCATGTTGCTACCTGGGGGGGGGGGACTGGCACACCTGATTTCACTGGAATGGGAACAAGAGGTGTCACAGGTTTTCCTGTTCTGACTGGTGCTGCCCCTTGTGACACTGTGCCACTCTCTGCAGTTCAGTCGGCTGAGGTCAGTCTTTTGACCAATGAACAACAGTGAATGGCTGACTTAAAGACCATTTTTGGATCACATAATCATTCAAGAGATTTACCCTCCCATTTTGTGGAGTCACAAAATTCAAAAGTAATTTACTTCCCCTGTTTTACTTTAGGTACAGGCCATATCAATATCACACATAGTTTTCTAACTTTCACATTAGTGTGCATGGTTCTCAGTCAGAGAGTGTCAGTTATGAGGCCAATAATCCTGAAGAGGTAGAAGCAATCACTTGGTGAATTGTAGGAGAAGCAGGGTGAACAGATAAATCTAAAACTGACTGCTTTGTTGGCTTGCTGGCCTGATGGAGATCTTCTTACCTGAGTCTTCTATCATTTTGGCAGACCTTTCATAGCTGGGCCAGCCCCTGTTATCATACATGAAGTGAGCCGTCCATACCATGCCGGTAAACTCTCTCGGGTTGGCCTTTGCTGGAGCTTGGTACTTCTCGGGGTGGAAACGGGAGAAGAACCCTCCGCCTCCGATGACCAGGAGGAGGACAAAATCTGAAGGAAATTGGAAGGAGAAGACAGATGATAGATTTACAACTTCTCTGGGAACAAACTTTTAGTATCAAAGATTTCTGCAGAACAATAACAAAAGTTTGAAGATCTCAAGGCTTGAAATCTCCATTCCTGTTGGTAAACTTCCCTTGCAAAAATGGTTTACGAAGTCATGCAAAAAAAGCATGCAGTATATTGGCAATTGTATTCCATCTGGTATTTCCCATTCTTCTCAAACACAAGAACACCTGGTACTCCATGTGTTGTGCAATTGCAACCTCTGTGAGGAAATGTTTCAGAGAGATTGTTGGTTCCCTACATCACTGCCTCAAGAATCCATACTGACATTTGAGGCAGTGGAGAGCACCAGTTTACTTGTGGTCAGGAGAGGTGCATCTAAAAAACTCACATATTTTGGCATCTGCAAAAATCTGATAAGTGCCCGTTCCATCCAGGTTGGGGAAGGCGATGTGCTTGCTCAGTGGGTTCTGGTGATCCCTGGCTTTGCCCTGCAGTAACGCTCGAACAATGTTGAACATGAGAAAGGCACCCAGTAGACCAGTCTGCTCTCTGGAAGAAGATGAAAGTGGCGGAAGAAAACATGACTGGTTGTGGCTCTGAACAGATATCGGTGTTCAAGAATCTCTTCAACACCCTGCAAGCCATTACAGACACTCTAATTTTCCCACCCACGCCCAATTTGGACAACAAGTTTTCAAATGCCAGCCATATCCTGCTAACAAATGGTTTCGGAATTAAGTACTAGCTGTTCGGGACAAAGGAAATTGGGAAGGAAATTAATCAAGTTAAGTAGGGACTTCAAATATGCATCCAGCTGATACTGAAACAATTTATGAAACTGTCCAGGGTTTTAACTAGAAGGGCAAAATGTCAGCATATACATTATACGTACAAACAAATATTTCTGTAACAAACCCTGACATTTAAAGACTGTTCCCGGTGGAAATGATGAACTTACAATTATGACAAGGATTTCCTGATGCAGTAGGAGAACACATTACAGGTTTTATTGGTAATGTCTCACTATGACTAAAATCGGGTGAGGTCTCAGTGGAATGTTGTTCTAACACACTTTCAGACACTGTTTTTATTCAGCATTACAGATTCAAGAATTGATTATTTTCAAGACAAGAAGTCTGGGAATGAGATCAAGAAATAGTTGAAGTTCCTGGATATTCTCGTCCACCTAGACATATCTCTGGTGTGAAAAAATTTGGCATTAGACTGACCTTGTATAAACGCCACCAGGTACAAAATTGTAAGCTGTCGTCCAAACAGAGAACAGCATCGCAAAGAGGTAGATAGCCATGGCTGCAGTCAGTGTCTTGGCTGGAGGACAGCTAGTCAACCGGTCAACCATCTCAGGCCAGATGGACATGACGTACATAGACAGCATTAGGCCGCAGAAGAAGCCTAGATAGGCATTCAGGTAATACAGGCCCAGAAAGCAGTGCAGGCCGATAAACCAGGACCACAGGAAGTTGGTAGGAAGGTCCTTCTTGGAAGACATCAGCATGCCTGTGAGGAGCTCCACAAAGACTGCCGCACTGATGAAAACAGAAACAAAAATGGCAGAGGTATTCTTAGAAACAAGACTGACCTGATCTGCAAAATGAGTCTTGTGCCCTATTTTTTTCTGTAATCTTGTTAGTTTGCGTTATCTAGAGCAAACAGATCTCAGCTTTGATGTTCACACAGTTTGGCAACCTTGATGAAAATAGATATTATGTGGGTGAAAACTGTTGAGAATTGCTGCTGTCTTATCCTGTGCAACATATCGTTTAACCTCAAAAATGGCTCAGACAATTTTGTTCGGTTTGGCCTCAAATTAAGATTAGCAACTTCAATCTTTTGGGCTTCAACCATCAATTAAAGAAAAATGAGACCAGCTTTTTTGACCCAAACTACACTTCCTTGTAGCATTCCAATCGTAAAGCATCTAATCTCTTTCATGCTTCAGGCAGGGAAGTAAGGAGAGGGATGGACTTGTACAAAGATCTGAATTTTTCTACTCACCCTCCTGGAAAAGGGGAGGGTCCTGGGTATGGAACCCCCTTCACTGTCCAACGACAGATTACCGACACCTCGCCAAAAAGCCAGTGGGTCAGGAAAAGCAGACTACCAAAGCCCATGGCTGTCCGCCGCCATGAGCTTGCCATGGCTGGGTCAGGCTCTGCTTGGGGCTCAGGGTACTCCACTGTAGCAGAGAAAAAGGGTAAATCAATCATTTCTTCAATTTCAACAAAAGATAACATATGGCTAGCAAAAGGACTGGTTGGCAAAAAAACGTTTAGTTTTAATGAAAATTGTACCCATAAATTCCACATATGGATCCATTCTGCGGAACTCCCAAGTAGTAAACGCTCGTATTTACTGACACGGTCACAAGAATTGGGAGTATTATTTGAACGCCAGGACTCCTGTTCTCAGGAAAGTTTGCGTAGAAGCACAGTATAGGAAAAGGGGTGCAGAATTTGTTTGAACTAGGGGTAATGGTTGGTTACAGGCTAAAATTTGTTGCATTGGATACTGACCTTGACTGGTTCTCAGTAGGCTTAGATAGTCAACTTTTCCCCCAGATCTTGAATACATGAATGCCAATCTAATCCTTGTCCATACCCCCAAAAAATAAGGCCAGAGAAGCCGAAATATACTTCATTTTTAAGGCCTTACGTTAGTCTTAGGCCAACATTTCAAAGCAAAGAGCTTGAAATCAGGCCTTTGCCTAAAACCTGGCATCTCTCTGAAAAGTGTTTTTAAAGTGGAAAAGAAAAAACATACTGGACCTAGAGTACGATTCTCCTTCCCTTGTGAACAAAAACAGACCCCGTCAAGTTCACAAATAGAGTCACGTATTCTTAACAGAATTCAATTTTACCTGATAGGAATCGATCAATTGTGGCTATGACTCCCAGGGTTATGATGATGGAGTTAGCTCGTGCATCACTCCATGTTGGGTTGAGGGACACATACCATACTCTAGATACTAACAGTGCGAAAAAACCAATCATAAGGCCCCAGAAGGATGACGATCTGCAAATGAAACGAGAAAAAAAACTATGTGTCAGATGTGAATGGCTGTGCACAGCTGTTATGTTACAACAGCCTCAAAGTGCAGCAGCAGTACAATCACCAACATCAAACGCAGAGCAAGCATCAACAGTGAAAAAGTATCAAGAGTAGGCAGCGCTGCAAATGTTCTACCTCAACACCAATAACATCTGCATGTACACTGGCATCTGCTGCATTATCATCAGCAGGTGCCAAACCTACATGTATAGATAAGTTTGAACAGCGACCAATTTGTTGACGAAACACAAAAGCTGTATCACCTCTGGTGAAGCGATCTGTTCCACAGCATCCCACACAGGAGGAGTGTCGCTGCTCCATTCCCAACTGTCAGAAACACCAGCCGCTGTAGAGTTGTGGAGGCCTGGAATGACCCAATGCTGAGGACGCACACAAGCCTCAAGACGAACAACCCCCAGCGTGTTTCGACAGCATTCCTAATAGCCCCAACAGTGCACACTACCGGCAGCAACCAGATCAGGCCCAATGCTTCGTAGCCAGTAATCTGAAGCTCATTCATGGGGTAAAACCACACCATGGGAGCCAGACCATGGAACACTGACCAAAATATAAAACCTGGAGAATAAATTCAACAAATAATTTCAACAAATATCTCTTGAATATCAACGCTAAAAAAATTGAAAAAATAATAAATGAAATCCCTATTTCTGTCATTATCTTGGAACTGATATAGCAGAGGCAAGCTGTATGATGCACTGTAAAAAGATGGGGTATTCCTGGAGGTTCATCCACACACTTAATTTGTATATAAAGGCAGATTTGGAAACTGAAATTGTTTACAGAGACAATGGACAGTTGTGCTTTGAAAAAGGAATTCCACCCCCATCCTCCGATAATGGTTCAGCCATCAGCCCAACACATGTGCAGTGTGATGCATACAAAGTGCATTTGTGATTGATAAAACTGTAATTGTCAATCTGCTGTCAACAGCGAGACAGAACACTTGTACATGCTGTACATCGTCGGTTCTCTTGTTGCATAAATATCTGTGATGGCAGAGTAAGTTGGTACAGTCCGAATAGCTAAAACTTTGCTATAGTGAGTTGTATGTTGCAAATGTCAGTCCTCAAGGTCTGTAAAAACTTAATGATTCCTAGAGTACTAAAACCTAAATTCCTGGAGTACTGAAACCTCTGTTGCTTTATTATTACTTTTGAATCTTTAGAGGGTATTTTCAAGTTTTTGACGCTTTGTTAACTCTAACATTTTTTAATTGTGTGTCCACACTTGGTGACAATAAACAGCAGTCCCAAATAGTGTTCTTGGCCGACCGTTTCTGAGCTTGTTCATCTGTTCAATGAATGTTGGACATCTGGAACCCGGAAAAACTTGCACCCGGCACAATTCGTACCCAGGACAACTTGTAACCCAAGAGAAAATTAAGCTTTTCTTGTCTTTTTTGTGACTGACACAAATTTCTGAAACTTGAATTGTGCAGAACCACCAATTTGCAGACAGTAAAAAGGGCCTTACTTGTCTTGTTTGTGATTGATACTAATCTTTTAGGAAACAAATTCACACGAAGAAGAAAACCCAAAGTCAATCTAGTCATGCTAGTATGGTGATATTGTCCGAAGTGTTTTAATTACTGGAGCACATTTATCAAAATCGTAAATCAAGTTAAGTGCAAGTTAAGTGTATATGTTATTACCGGGTGCGAATTGTCCCGGGTACGAGATGTCCCAGGTGTGAAATTTTGGGTACGAGTTGTCCCGGGTACGAGATGTCCCGATACCTGTTCAACATGTTCAAGTTGTTGAAATCGTAGTTCGTACCCAGTATGGATTCCGAAAGCAACTCCCGTAGGAAAGTTCTTGGTTTGACGGGCAAAACCTTGGGCTTTTCTGCATCTTCAGACTGCTTTACGGGCTCTTCACTTTCCTGGACACTCTCCTCTTTTTCATCCTGCGAAATATCGCCCCTTCGCTCTCGTTCTGCTTCTTCTGTTGCACGTTTCGCCGCGCTCCTGGTAGTCGCCATGTTTGTCATCAAAAGATCCGGGTACATGTATACTGCCCTCATCGTCAGGTACTATATTAAACTCTAAGGTTGGGTGGGGCATATTGTTTTTTTCTCCTCCAGGTCTATGGGTGGGGCGAGCACGGCACAGATAGAGGGGTGTTCTGCCTAGTTTGCGTGTTTTAAGAAAATAAAGGAATGGTTTCGAAGATGGGAGTTTCAAATTTTTCCTGGGCCAGGGCATGACCCTGGGAAGAGATGGGGGTGGAGGTACATCCACCGTGCAAGCAAAGTAGGAGATGTTACAACCTCATTTTTATGATTGTTGGGAATTCGAGATATCAAGTGGGAAGTGGTGTAGATCGTGGATTTTTGGGGAACAGTAAAAAGGGGGCTAATACGGATGTCTGTTACAAATAAATCAGATTACTCTCTTTCTTCCTCTACCTTTTTCTTTTTTGGTCATTACCTCCCCTTTCAACATGTTCAAAGACAATTCTGCCAACATTTGGTCAACTTTGGACAAAAGCCCGACTCAGAGTTACAGCACTGAGTAATGGCACCCATGGAAAAGTCATCGTGATTTCTAGTCCCACAGGTGACTAAGGTACATGTATAGGAAATTATGCCTTGAATCGAGAACACCCGTTTGTAGTTCGCCATCAGAAAATCAAAACTGTCCCCAGCGTCAAGTAATTGGTCATTTCTACCTTAGCTAAAACAAGGCTACTTAAGCGAAAATTGGATTGAAACTAGCCATGTCCTGGCACCGTTCATATTGTATGCTGCCCTCATTGTCATTGTCATATATGCTATAATTATATGCATTTTTTGCAAGCTTATTTTTGGGGGGGGGGTGATAAGGTATGTGGCAAAAGATTCCTTTGGTGTTCATGGGTTTTTATGGAAAGTTAAGGGTTGTTGGGTTGTGAACACGAGTAAAACTTGTATGGATGGTTCGAGTAGCTGTTGGAGACAGGGCAGAGGTCAACGGTAAAACAATCAAGCTGGCATCTGGTATGCACAGAGGTAAGTTGGTTGACCATAATTCATACATTTACTCAAAACATTAGTATGACCATTCCTGGAAACAAGGACACTGGAATTGGTTCCCTAAACAAGAAAACTATGCACAAAACGAACTGTTATTTGCATCCAAAGTTTGCCTGATAACTGTACAATTTATTCTTGTACAAAAGGTTTTGGTCTACAAATAAATGTTACAGTATAAATGTTCAATTTGACCATTTTTTGGGCAAAAACTACATAATTGAGTTTAACAATGAAAAATGCACTCTTTCTGCACCAAGTGCAGTTAAATTAAGAGTATCCAGTCTCCCATGAAACGTTTCCCAAGACCCCTACATTTCAAGATCTTCAGAGAAATCCAGTGAACATTTTTTATTTCCATCATGTGCTGGTTTCTCCTATCGAGCAAATTTAGACCCAGTGAATGTTGGTCTCTGATAAGTGACATCTTATTGCTAGGACAAATATTCTCCATCAGTTTAGGTTAAAAACACATTTTAATTAGGAATAAATTTTCTGTTTTGGGGTTTTCTTTCAGTTAAGATAAATTTTGGGAGAAAATTTCTTTGGGAAGTGATATTACGAATTTTGGGCTACCAAATTTACTGCTTTATTTTCTAATTTTGAAGGGTGCCATTAATGTTGAGCTGCTTGTGACCTACAACCAGGATACAGCTGTCAACTTTATTTTTAACTTTTAGCGAAAACAGAAATTTGTAGAAAGATACAAAGTACAGGGATACCCCCCCGGCCACCGTTCAAATGAAAGATTGCTTTTGACTATTTTGTACATCCTTGTTTTAACCCACAAATGTTTTCTTTCAATCCTGGGTTCTTCAAATGCATCATTGCAACATTCAGAACACACGGTGTTTATCCTTTTGCCAGTTTGAAGCAAACCAACCAGTCAGTAATTTAATACATCATAACACAGCATGCAGAACAAAAGAAAACAAACAATCGGTTAATAGGAGCAAGCTTCAGCAAATTCATGCAAACAAGCGTTACTGTACAAACTGATGAACACCGTGTAATTAGAATGTCCTCACCCATTTTAGTGTATCCATGAATATGTAGACCAAAAGGATCCTGAAAATTTCAGATGGCATCATTGAGGGCTTTAAGTCCACCAGGCAAACACATTTACTCTGTGTATGGGGGAGATTCCCTAACCTTAAATTTTTTTCTCATGGTAACAAACGTTATGAATCCCTCCGAGTCATTAATGCCCCTAAACTTATCAAAAATTCCAAACTCTTCAAACTTGTTATCTTTTAGATTCTGAAAGCCAAGCACCTCCTTTAACTTTATGGAGAAAAGTCATTTCCGACATCAGAATAACCCATGCTTGTTGTGAATAAAGAGACTATTCCCTCTCTTCTTTGAGGAACTGATTTTTACATTTTTAAAACAAAATTTGGAACATTTTCTGTAGAAAATGAAGGCAGTTAAACATGTTGAGAGGAAAGTTTAAAAATCACTTAATTAACATGTGTACGTCTCATTAAAATAATAGCTTTATTTTGCAGTTATTTTAAGTCATGTGTTAACTTGTTCCCTGACATGACAACCAAACGAATAGAATGACAAGAAAGAAGATAAAATTATGCTACTAAAAAAAGTTAAGGACCACTTTTTCTGAACTTGTAATTTTTTTTCCAAGCAATGAGTGGGGTCTAGTTCTTTCATTTTTGTTTATCTAGATGGTCTTCTCATTGGAATTAAACATTTAAAAATGTTTCAAAACATCAAATGCACATTCTCAAAATGGAAGTTTCAGGGAAAAGTCAAATGACAAAATAAAAAGTCCATAACTTTTCTTGAGTAGTGTATTTGTTTCATTTTGGCAATACTCTCCAATCATTTTGAAAGTGAAAGACCCAACTCCAACATTTTGGCCTAGGAGAGTTAGTTGGTCTCGTTTGGAACTCCTTCAATAGAAAATGAAATGAATATTTTTAAACTCAAAAAAGGTTTTGTTGGAGTTGGGCCCTTCTTTTAATTAGGTAGTCAATTTCTGTGTGCATAAATAAAAACCTTACAGGAGATCAAGAAAGCTTTCTAAGCTAAATCTACATTTACAATGTTACAAATACAATTATCTTGGCTAAATAAATGTCTGCTATCTGTATATTTCCCGACATGGGATTTCCAAGGAGCCAATGTATCATTTGGATACCCAACAAGAAACAAGCAGTTACTTGTGATTAGTGAAGTGGTTTCTAATCAGCTGTGCCTTTCACATAAAGATGGGTATGTGAAAAAAATTGAAGACTTCTCGAAAGGCCTTTATCTTATAATAACCACCTCATGACATTATCAAATTTTGACAAATTTCAGAAATTTCCCAGTATTGAACAGATTTTTACTTGTAATAATATGATTAAGTATTAAATAATACAGGCGATTTCCAATACAGTGCGCCACCAAGAGTTGACCATGGACAGGCCACTTTCAAGTTGAAGGTCGACACGCAGCCATGATTAAGTGCATTTTATATGTAATTTGGGGATAGTTGATTGAGGCGTTTTCTGCACCCACAAAACTATCATTTTGACGACCTAACATCTATTCACAATAAGGAATTTTGAATTTTCAATCAAGACGATGATAAACAAACATTCGAAAAAAAATCAAGTTTTCCTTGCACAGCTCAGTTAGTGAATGAGATTTTGTGGACTATTCATCCCATAATACACCATGAAAAATGCCTCTCCATGACAACCTTTGGGTGGTAAACTGCATTGTGAATCATCTGTGTTAATTAACGACTGAATAATCTACCTGGCCATGTTTAGGAATGGATCGATCAACATTCTACCTGCCATAATTTCATGTTCATATCATTCATGGCGTGATCACAAAAGTTATGCAGATTTGTTTGAAAGGAATTTATATTAATTTTTTTATGTGATGAGGGGATTTTTGCCAGGTTTTATTCAGTCGTTGAATATACAGCTGTGAATGTTTCACATTCCTGCAACAGAATGGATCATTTTTTACGAGATGAAATGGAATATTCGGCTTCACCTTCTGGAAGAGAATATTCCACCTGTCATCTCATAACTATTCCTTCCACTACAGGAGTGAAGAAGCACTCACTATTTGTATACTAAGGACCATTCATAAACAGTGTCACACCCAAGCTGGGGGGGATGTACCTTGGGGAGCCCTTTAGGTTTTCTTTTTTTCCTTTTTTTTGAAAAACAAAGATGCAGTATACGCCTTAACTTCAAAATATCAGCTCTGATAGATAGCCATACATACATCCCAGTCCTCTATGGAGAAACAGGGGAGGGGTTTTAGCATCTTGAGCTATTTGGAGGTAAATTCTGGTCTAAGCCCGCATGATAAATCGTGGGTGTGCCACTGTTCTTAAGTACAACACAGCAAAAGCACTATTTTCAGTAAGACACGGATGTGATTATATTCAGCAGCTGTAGTTCGCCGTCCTCTTATCTGCTGATGATGTGTGCCTTGAAGAATCTACAGAAAAAAAGAGAAAGTGGAAAAAATTACTTCAAAAGTGAGTCTCAATCAGCAGAAATTAAGTCAGCAGAAGAATATTGTCATCGTTTGGCTTGCATCTTTCCAAACAGAAACACTTTCTTGGGCTCCCTTGTTTTGGTTTTTTTAAGGAAAAGGTATGTCTCCTTGATATTTCTAGAGCTGAAGTTAAATTTCAGAATCACAACCAAAAGTTTAAACCCACAAGCAGAATGGTACTGATAAACCCTGATAGGATGGCAAACAAAAATTGTGATTGGCCATTTTGGAATGCGAAGTACGTTAGCAGAATATTCTACTACTAGTAAACAGGCAGTAGTTTCTCATTCAGTTGAATGGAATTTTATTCACCCAAAGAACTGCATTGATTGAATGCATAACAAGCAGGATCATCAATTCATCTGTTTGTTTTCCTCAAGGGCATCAATCCGTTTTGTAAAGTGGGGGGGGACATAGTTCTGATCAGAACAAATGTGAGCGTGAAGCGCGAAGCTTTGAGCAGTGTGGGGTCCGGGGCCCACTCAGGGGTCCCCGAAAGTTTTGGAGTATAAATTGCTCTGTTGTGTGATCTGAGACAATGATTTTTCTATTTTAGCCAGTTTTTTAACAATTGCCTTTGCAACCTATACATTTTCATTTAGGTTTGGGAAAAAAGTGGGGGGGGGACAATTGATATAGTAACCCCCCACTTGAAAAAGTGGGACATGTCCCCCCCGTCCCCCACCAATTAACACCCATGGTTTTCCTCCCAGTTTCACCTGTGGTTCCTTAGTGTTGTCTGTGATGAGGTGAGTAGCCATGCGTCATCCTTGTCCAGATGGGCTGCAGG